TTTCTCCCCGCTGACGGTTATAGGACCATCCATTGACCCAGACTCCCCTTTTTCTGAGCATTTTGCCATTTATTCTCTTAATACTCCAACCGTCCTCTCCCTCGCCCGATCCACAACCTCAGGGCTTCAGTTGTGTGTAAGAACTGGGGGGAGAGGAGAGAAGGACCCGTCCGTCAGCTTAGCTGGCCCTCCGAGCCACCGCCCCACGGAGACTCCAGCACCACTCCGAGCAGCTTGGCAGCTAAACCGCTGGGATCTGCAGCAGATCGGAGCAGCTCTGCCAGGGCAGCTGCTCGGCGGGTGGGGGTTGACCCCTCCCGGAGGAAAACGGACGCCACACACTTCTGAAGGAGACAGGGCCGGTTCTGCCGCTCAGCCAGCCGGTACACTTCCCCAAGAGTCCCGGGGCAGAGAGTGTCTTGGCACAATGCCTCATCCACCAAGGCCTGGAGGTCAGGGAGGAGATACTGTTCAGCAACCACCAAGATCCCTTCTGCCAAAGCGAGGGGGAACGGCGTTCCCAAGACCTGGCAGGGCTTGCCACGACAGCCGTGGAGGAAATGGGCAACAGCCAGGAAAGGTTCCGGCGACACGTCGCGAAGGGTCACGCTGGTGTGGGACGACTCGGCGAAGCCTCCGCTCAGCATGGCCCGGAAGACCTCAGAAGCGTCGCTGACCGCCTGCCGCACGGCTGGCACTCTGCGGCCAGAATCCAGCTGAAAGAACAGGTCGGCCGCACCTTCCTCCTCCACGAGGCGAGAGTAAGGACAAGGCCGCGGGGAATCCAGGCGAGGCCGCTTCAAGGCGGGAGACGAGACAGAAGCAGGAGACGGAGTTGGGGTGCTCAGGAGGAGAGAAAGAACGTCTGAGGTACAGAAGACAAAATAGGGGTCAGGGTCCCGCACCAGGACCCCCAGCAAGTTCCGCAGGCCAGAGAGGCCCACCAGCAGCTTCCGACAAGCAGAATCCTTCCTGCAGCAGAGAGAAGACACAACAAAGAGCATTACAACTTCTAATGTAAAATTGTATAAGAATAATTATGAGAAGTTATGGTTAAAAATACAAAAGGATTTAAATAATTGGAAAAAATTACAATTGTCTTTGTTGGGGAGAATTGCAGCTGTTAAAATGAATGTTCTACCGAAGTTTCTTTTTCTGTTTCAAATGATACCTATTTTGAAAAAAGATGCCAATTTGGAGGAATGGCAGAAGGGTATTAATAGATTTATTTGGGGGGGGAACCAAGAGTTAAATTGAAGATTTTACAAGATGCACGAGAAAGAGGAGGACTTAAGGTACCTAATTTGAAATTATATTATGATGCGGTGGTTTTAACATTGGTTACTGATTGGCTTAATTTAACTAATAAAAGTATACTTCAACTAGAGGGATGGGATTTATTATATGGATGGCATGCATATTTAATTTACAATAAAAAAGTCGATAAGGCTTTTAAATCTCATATCTTAAGAAGTGCTCTATTGCGTGTCTGGAAAAAGTATTATTATAAGTTAAATTATAAAATACCAATTTGGGGTATCCCTGGACATGTGATAGAGGAAGTATCTAAGGGTGTGAATTTGGATAGGATTTCTTATAAGGAATTACTTAGATTGGAAGGGAATGATTGGCAATTAAAATCGTTAGAGGAGTTAAAGCAAGAAAATGTTGTACAGTCTTGGTTTCAGTATACTCAATTGATGGCTAGGTGGAAATTAGATCAAAAGATTGGCATTACATTATTGGATGAGAATTTGATT